AAGGAAAAAAAGAAACAGCATGTGTGTGCTGATCCCTAACTTCCAAATTTTGTTAACTTGGGATGTAAAACATTTAATAGTGTCATTTATGGTTAGTTTTATTTTTTTATCAAGAGACAATTAGTGTAATAGTTGAAAACGTGAGTCCTATTATCACAAGAAAATAACTTCAGTGATTATTTAGCATAATTACTCAATAACTTCAGGGACGATTACCATCATTAAACCCAAATGTTCAATTTTATAAGGTTAAATTACAAATTTAGTCTCCAACATTTGACCAAATTCGAGATCATATCCCAACTAATTTTATAAGGTTAAATTACAAAAATGTATGGCAGAAAATCAACGGGTTCTTCGTGGTTTTGCCAAGATTGTAACATCTAGTTAGCTTGTTTACTATTGGCTTATATATATGTTTATATATCAATTTTCACATGAGATAGTGGTGTGTGAACTATGAATTGTATGTGTTTGATTTCAAACCTGCTAGTACACATTTTACTTCTTTAGATTTGGAGTTATATTTCTTTGTGGTTTTTGATATGTTTTTAATTAGTTAGTTGTTCTTGCTTTATACGGGTATAGTTATACTAATTCTGTCATTTATTCCCATCTCAGAATGGTTGGAAGAAATTCTAGAATCTGTCATAGTTGTAGATCTAAAAGCCACTTCTTTGCCGAATGCCCAAAGAAACGTCGATGTCTATCATGCAAGCATGAATTCGAGAAGTGCTTTGTCGTCGAAAAGGAGATTGTCAATAAAGGTCGTTTATTTCTTTGCTGCAGTGCCAATTATGGTTTTTGGGAATGAGTTGTCAAAGAAAAGTCAAGTGATCAATCATTTAGCGGCACGAATGCCTCAGTTAATGATGTGGCAAATGAAAGAGTAGACGATATATCATTCATGTTCCAATCTCGCATTTGCCTCAATGATGAAGTAGACCTTCGAATTTCGATGAACGTGACGATATGCAAGGCAGAAGACAATGCAGAGTCGAATGCACGGGGGAAGGGATCGACTTGATTAGTAGTTATGAGTCGAATGAGTTATTACATGCACTATTGTATGTGTAGGATTATTATGACTGAATCTATTTAAACTATTCGAATGTCAATGGGTACATTGCATATTTTGTAGCCTTGCATGTATGAATTTGTATTCTGTATTTTTGTAGGAAAAGAGTTTAAATTGCTGAACATGGTATCCTGAACTAAAGACTTCACTTTAGTGTTTTTTATTGTCTGCATGTCTACATCCATGAGCCACATTACTTGTTTTTCCTCATATTGGTTCTAATGGATGCTTGAAATGATCTGCATAAATTTTTTCCTTCATCATTGTAGATTGAATAATTCAATCATTTCAAGACATTACTGTCGGCTATGAGTAGGGGTGGGCGCGGGTCGGTTCGGTTCGGTTCTCTTTAGAACCGAACTGAACCAAATTTTTCGGGTATCTAGTAAATGAAACCGTCGGATCCAAATATAATTATAGAACCGTTCGGGTTCGGTTCCATTCGGTTCGGTTCGGATCGGTTCGGTTCCGTTCGGTTCTGTACTATAATTAAATTTTTTAACATTTATAACAACGTTATATAAATACGACTAATGATACATTCAATAATTTTGAAATGTCAGAGATTAGTAAACTACCTTGTTCAAATGATCGCTACGATTAAAGCTTCAGTCGGGGAAAGTCACGGCTTCGATCGGAGGTCAGAGTGTCGGCCGACGATTGTATAGGTTTTGGAATATTAGATAGGCTGCGAAAGTGAGTGCGAGAGTCGAGACAACGTTATGCACTTTATTGTAGGTGTTTAGGGTTATTTAGTGGATTTGATCTTGTTTGGCTAAGAAATGAAACAATAAAATGGGTAATTGGGCCAAAAATTAAAAAATTAGAAATGAAACAAATTATTGGGCCAAAAATTTGGATTTAGAAATCATTAATTTGTTAATTTGTTTAGAAAAAGTTAAAATTAAAATAATTTGATTTACTCAATATAAAAAAAAATTAGAAAGATTCGGTTCTTATTTGGTTCTTCGGTTCTTGGTCTAAAACCGAGAACCGAACCATACCCGTCGGTTCTCAATTCAGATACCCGTTCGGGTATTTAATTTGACAAGAACCGTCGGGTTCGGATCGGTTCGGTTCGGGTTCGGTTCGGTCGGTTCGGTTCGGTTCGGAAGATTTGCCCGGCTTTAGCTATGAGCAGAAAAAACATTGATGCTATAGTGAAAAATGTTGGGCCAATTTCCCATTCTCCTGTTCTATAGGGGCGCTTTTATGTGTTTGTATATAGCTCTCACACTATTTAATGGGCTTGTATAGTTGATAGATAACTTTACCATTCTTTTATTTCACTATGATGGTCAGACAAGTGAATGGGACGAATTTGAGTGGTCAAAGCTGGCTATCCATGTGAGCGTGCGGAAGCAAACTAAATGGTAAACAACAATCACATTTTCTTTCCATTTTCTTGTGTACCATTATATGTCAACATTAGCCCCAATGCTTGTGATACGAGAAAGACGTCCTCTTTTAGACGCACACAATTAATTAAAGATTCCTTAATGGGAAAGAAGTGATGATGTGAACTGTGGGCAGTTGGAAAGATCCACTCTCTGCACAAATTAATGGGGAAGAATAGTTTAGAAGCACATGCTTCAAAAAGTGCAATTTTAGAAAATCAATATGGATATTTTTTTATATCTAATTCAGCACTGCAAGACTACTTAGAATGTGCTGGCTCTATGCATTTACATTAAATTTTAAACACTTGTGATCAATATGTGCATTACATGAAAAATGCAGACATCAAATGCATCAGTGAGTATTTCTCTCTTTTAATCATCAGTGTAACTTATGAATGCTAAGTTCGAGGCTAATTTGTGAGTACAACAAATACATACTTTCTTAAACAAGTGTCTTTAACCAAATTTCCTTCAAATCAATAGCAAACACCCAAAAAATGATTAAGCTAACACCATTTTGTCCATAAACTTCTACCAAGTAATGGAAATATGAACATGTTATTACACTATTCTAGTGGTTTAGGAAATTTAATTAGAGTCAGATAATTGCTCTCTTATAGAGAAATGAACTATTTAATCCAAAACTTCATACAACGGCATCCATTGTCCTAGACAATGCAAGTTTCAACCGCTCAAAAAAACCTTGCAATTGACCTTCAAAAAAATAGTTGGAAGCCCAAACCTTTATCATTATAGCATTGCATAACCCTCACTTGCCTGAGCCACCTTGGTCAGGTAAATGCGAAAAGTAGTATGGCATTGCTTGACCTACAATACATTGAGAACATTGATAGATGGATGCATGAAAGAAATATACATCGAAAGTTGAAATGTCATACTTTGTTCTTACCTTGTGAACTATACATAATGTTTGTTGATGAAGGAGGGACGAAATTTGAAGACGGCAGCACACTTGAAAGGGAGAATGGTGTCGTGATGGAATATTGTGTTAAGGGACATGTCGTCGGTCTAGGGTACTGTAAATATGAGGTCGGCATCTACACGGAATGTTGTTGTGTTTGAGCATGCTGAATGTCGACCACACTCTTAGCCGTATCCGTTTGCCTCGTGCTTGGTCACTTTCCTTTGTTTGGTGCCGAGCTTCCCTAAATATGCATAGGATGTGATCAGTATTAATTATTAGAGACATTTGAATTTTAGAGTCTAGGCCTCGAACATACCTTTCTTCGAACTCGACTCCAACGGACCTTTTCTCCGAAGTTTCTTGGGGGCCCCTTTTGTGCGCGACGTCACTGGATCACGTATAGTCACACTATGCACACTTGAAAGGGAGAATGGTGTCGTGATGGAATATTATGTTAAAAAAGAATCTCGTCGGCCTGGGGTACTGTAAATATGAGGTCGGCGTCTGCACGGAATGTTGTTGTGTTTGAGCGTACTGAATGTCGACCACACTCTCAGTCGTATCCCTTTGCCTCATGCTTGGTCGCTTTCCTTTGTTTGGTGCCGAGCTTCCCTAAATATGCATAGGATGTGATCAGTATTAATTATTAGAGACATTTGAATTTTAGAGTCTAGGCTTCGAACATACTTTTCTTCGAACTCGACTCCAACGGACCTTTTCTCCGAAGTTTCTTGGGGGCCCCTTTTGTGCGCGACGTCACTGGATCACGTATAGTCACACTATCATGATGTTGAAAATCAGTGCATTGGTCCATATTTTCAAAAGAATTTTTGGATACAGCATTACTTCCTATGCCCGACTTCTTAGACGTCATGAGATCTTGACGCTGAAGTTTTATCCATTCCATAATCACACGTGCTCGACCTTCATCGTCTGCCGCGAGATCCGCTACTTCTTCAAAAGCATGGCACACGTCACCATACCTCAACTGCTCAAGAGTACTAACCAAACCGTCGTAATCGATTGCGACCCCAACGTCTTTCCTCCACCTTCGCAGTATACACCTCTCAGGAAGTAATGTGACGTCACAATGAATCAGTACTGCAATAGCATGCCTACAAATTATCTCCCTAAACTCGAGCAAATGGCAGCTGCAAAGAATATCACAATTTTATCTATCAAATGAGACGACAAATGTTTTCTTCCTCCGTATCCCGCCGCCCATAACGTCCTATCGAACCTCATACATCGTCCCTGAGGGTCTCTCCGAAGTAGAGATGAGGTCACAGTAAACCTTTCCTATAAACTCAGCCTGAGCCTCCTTTAATTTAGAAATAGTGTAAACTGATTGAAACTGCTGCTCCACTTCATAATCTGTGGCACACGGTAATGTTTGCGCAAATGACTTGAAATCAGCTTGGAACTCCTTCTCAATTTTACTGCATGTGACGTCACAATGAATCAGTACTGCAATAGCATGCCTACAAATTATCTCCCTAAACTCGAGCAAATGGCAGCTGCAAAGAATATCACAATTTTATCTATCAAATGAGACGACAAATGTTTTCTTCCTCCGTATCCCGCCGCCCATAACGTCCTATCGAACCTCATACATCGTCCCTGAGGGTCTCTCCGAAGTAGAGATGAGGTCACAGTAAACCTTTCCTATAAACTCAGCCTGAGCCTCCTTTAATTTAGAAATAGTGCAAACTGATTGAAACTGCTGCTCCACTTCATAATCTGTGGCACACGGTAATGTTTGCGCAAATGACTTGAAATCAGCTTGGAACTCCTTCTCAATTTTACTGTGCAGTGCTCGCTCATATTGTTTGACAAATTGCTTCAATGACGTCTTCGAATGCACATACCCATCAAAGAATGCATTCATGCTCTCGGTTCTCTGTGTCATTGACATCCCTGCCCAGAAACTAGTCTTCAGAAAATAAGGAACCCAACGAGCTCTTTTTGCATATAGTCCGGACAACCAATCGTTATCATGCAAGCCGTAAGTATCAATCATCGTGGCCCAACCTTCTTCGAACTCCTGGACAAACTATGAATCGTAAACCAATCCGTGTATCGCTTCAAATATTGATGCCTTGTTTTCGTGGTGTCCAAACTTCTTAGGCAACTTTTTCAGAATGTGTCACAAACACCATCTATGTCTTGTGTTCGAGAAAACTATCTGAATTGCATTTTGTATTGCCCTGTCCTAATCGGTAATTATCCCTTGTGGTGCTTGTTCATGCATACATTGGAGCCATATTCTAAACAACCGCACAAAAGTTTCCATGTCTTTATTCAATACCAATCCACAACCCAACAATGTGGATTGTCCGTGACGATTAATGCAAACAAAAGGGGCGAAAGGCATGTCATACTTGTTTGTCAAGTAAGCGGTATCAAATGTAACAACATTGCCGAATTCCTTATATGCTTGTCTACAGCGATTATCTGCCCAAAATATGTTCTTCAACCGAAAATCATCATCCAGATCCATACTAAGAAAAAGCCTGAGACTTGTGCTTGCATTTTTGAAAAGTATGTTTGTATTGCGGCGACGGCCCCTTCCCCAAGTCTTAATCGTCTCACTTTTTCAATGTAATTTCGGCAATCCTTTTCCACGCAACTCATGTTCTCATAACCACTTGCTTCGACAACAGCTGAATTGTAACTTTTATGCAATGGAATTCCTGCAAAATCATTGACTTGTAGCTTGCACTTCACGCGTGCACTCAATTCTCTATTGCAGCGAAATAACCTGGACTTCGAAGAGCTAGTTTCATGATTGTGGTCAAGATTGACAGTATTAAGTCTCCAAACACCATAAATATCCACAAAAGCAGAGATTCTCACTTTACAACCCATCTATATTGTTGGTTGCGGCTTCGAAGATCCATCAGTATTTTCGTTTCTACGACCTTCTCGACTACATGTCACTGTCACATATCTCAACTCTCCATCGTCTCCCCTTTTCGAATTTCTTTTTCCATGCAACTCATGTTCTCATAACCACCTGCTTCGACAATAGCTGAATTGTAACTTTTATGCAATGGAATTCCTGCAAAATCATTGACTTGTAGCTTGCACTTCACGCGTGCACTCAATTCTCTATTGTAGCGAAATAACCTGGACTTCGAAGAGCTAGTTTCATGATTGTGGTCAAGATTGACAGTATTAAGTCTCCAAACACCATAAATATCCACAAAAGCAGAGATTCTCACTTTACAACCCATCTGTATTGTTGGTTGCGGCTTCGAAGATCCATCAGTATTTTCGTTTCTACGACCTTCTCGACTACATGTCACTGTCACATATCTCAACTCTCCATCGTCTCCCCTTTTCGAATTTCTTTTTTCACATTTTTCACTCCCACAGAGTGCCTTTGCTTGTCTAATAATTTCAATATAATAGCAATCTATTACATAGCTCATTTGATACAGTAACAAGTGTTTAAAATGGTCCATAATAAACTAAATAAAATTGCCCACAAGCTCAGTTAAGAACTTCATACCCACCTCCGGCACTATCAAACCATCTCCTAAAGAGGTTTCACCTTCCACTATATTAGCAGAGTCCATACAATTCTCATGGTCAGATGCCACCAAAACACCATCATCTTCACCTTGCACTTCATCCATAATTTCTTCCCCTGCAATATGATAAGATATCACACATTCAATGATCCACAATATCAATATTATAAGGTTATTCTCAATCACATTTTTCACTCCCACAGAGTGCCTTTGCTTGTCTAATAATTTCAATATAATAGCAATCTATTACATAGCTCATTTGATACATTAACAAGTGTTTAAAATGGTCCATAATAAACTAAATAAAATTGCCCACAAGCTCAGTTAATTTATAAGGTTGCAGTGCTTCAGAATGATAAATAATTAATGCCTTATTGGTCCTAAAATTGTTGCATTTTTCCCCAAGACCATTCACGTCATTCCCATTACCGGGCGAATTTGGAAGAGTTACTGCATATTAATTGAACATTCAATGTTGTCTGTCTGGTTAAATTGGTGCACATTAATGTCAACCCCACAAGCCATAATGGCAATAAAAGACCCTACTAATTAAAGAAGTGAAACTGAAGAAACTTACTAATTAACTATTGAAAAACATAGACACAATGGCTCGCTCCGATGGCGAAAACAAAGAAATACTAATTCTTCAGTTGGCTAGCCAGATTTCTGAACGTGACTTTATCGACGTCGGCCTTTACAATGGAACAAAGATTGTTTGCTTGGAACAAAGATTTTTGAACCGGTTTGTAAACGTATGTGTTCTTCTTGGCTTCTTTACTGAAAACGGAAGAAGATAACGCCAAACGAGTTTGGGGAAAATTGGTGTAAATGGTCAAAATAATTAATTCAGAAATTTTCTCTCTCCCACGTTCCCTTTTGACTGAAAATTATTAATTAATGCTTGTATTTCTCAGTCCCACATGCACAGCTTCCGTTTTCCCTCCAAAAGACTCATTTTACACGGTGGAAATTTTAATTCCCTGTCAACAGGGTATCGTTCACCCTGTTTGACAAGATTAATTGCTGGTTTCAATACTTTTCATTTTCCCAAGATAAATGCCAGGTCATTGTCAAGATAAATGCCACATTATCAATTTTAAATTCATGTACCATTTTCTATAACAAGTTCCTGTACCCATAGCAAAACTGTTTTTCACATTTGGAAAAATGTTCATTTTTAAAAGTTTGGTTTTCACATTACCACATCAATACACTGCAAAGTTTAGATTCCAAATTTACCAATTGTGTGTCATACATCATTCAATACGAGGAAACTCCTTACCTTGTCATATATCTCTATAGAATTTCTTATTATATTTCACTAATTTTAAATAAACTCTTTGGCTGCATTCAATAAAATAATAAAATTTAACTTACTATTAAGACTGCTATGCATAAACAAGCTCAAGCAATTCGGTTGTGCTCCCCAACATAGAAAGTCAGTAGCATTCAAAAAATCAACCACTTAAAATGGGTCAAAGCTATACCCCTCTTAAAAAAAAAAAATTTCCCCCTTATAGATATAGAAGGCAAAAAGGATTCTTCAGGCTCTAAAGCATTTCACCCTAATAGATTACAGATAAGCAAGAAGAAAAATACATGTGGATTTGATGTAAAAAAACATTTTTGCACTGTCATGATCCTCAATAATGATGTAATAAGTACGCCCACTACCATTAAAAGAGAACGTTGATTACTTTATGTGAATCGTCCTTGTAAGTCATAATAACCACTTGCAAGTAGCATTTGTATAAAGACACAAATGAACATAACATGCAAAGAATTGTGAAAAGCTAACATGCCTTACATACTGATGTATATGATCAATGACTGCGTACCCATCATCCACAACTTCAATAGTGCAAGCTAGAGAACTGTATTACCGGTGAAATGAAGATGCTCCTGGAAGATTCAGGATAGAGTTGGCTTGAGTTCAACCATATATTGTAAGCTTTGGAACGAATGCAAATCATTATATTAATCTCTAGATCTCCAAGTTTTTGTAAGGCTAAATAACTCCTTCATAGTCCAATTTTTTTACTTACTCATCAAAGTAATACTTATAGTCAGGAATAACTGAGGAGAATAATTGTGATCTCTAAAGTGGCAACATAGAAAAAATGCAGTATATATGAATTATTGAATGTGTAATTGCACAATGTAATCTATGATGCTCGGACTTGGGCGTAAGTATCGGATACGGGAACATATCTGAAAGTCGGATCCTCCTCATTATAAAAATTAAGATATGGAGATACATTTAAAAAGAATCCAAATTTTGGATACGTGTACGGGAATACTTCTTACAATTTTTTATTTTTAAAAATGATAGAACAATGCAAAAATAACAAAGAGAAAAATGGTTCAATTAAAGTAAATAATCACAATATTAAATTTACTTGTAAACATAATTAATTGATACTAGTTGTTAAAAAATGAACTCGTAGTTTATTTTGTTACTCATTCGATAAAATCAATTTAAACAATTGAATTATATTGAAATCAATTTAAATTAAAAATCAAAATAAATTCTTTTCCAAAGAGTTAAGAAAAAATTAATTCAATGTCTTATATATTATATAAAAACAATTATAGAAATAAATTATAATTTAACTACCAAATAAATAATATATCACTAATTCATTTTTTAAGTATAATATAAAATGTTGTAAAAGATAAAATATAAGAAATAAAAAAATTATATAAACTCAATAACTACATTCATTAGACTTCACAAGAATCCATTTAACACACTCTCATTAACTCTATCCATTGGACTTCTCAAAAGCCCATTTAACTCCTCTAAAACTCATCCTCTTCCCTAATTCACTGTCGTCCCCAACTCTCTCGCTGCTGCTAGGCGAAAGCCATAGAAGCAAGACACCTTCCACCATTTTCTCCCTTTTGCTGCCGTGTCTAAGTGTAAAACGAAGAATCCAATCCATATCCCGTATCAGTATCTGTGTCATGTCGTGTCGACACGGATACTTCTCCATTTTTGGAGAGTCCATGCAACACAGCATCTGTCAGACTTTTGGTTCATATCCAACTTAGCATCCTCAATTTTCTTTTGCCTATGACCAAATACCTAGAGTTTTTGATCCGTGGACTCAAGTTTGTTTTCCATCCTGTTGGTAACAGCCAAGGAGGTACCCATATCAGTAATCACCAAATCTAGTTTTTTCAAATGTTCATCAACAACTTTGGCCCTTGTATCCATAACTAGTAAATGCCCATTTAAATTCGTGTGCTCTGTTTCCGATTTGTCACGGCTGGAACTCGGCTTTGATCCTCACTATAACCATAACTCAGAAATGGAATGTTCCTTGAAATCAGCTGAAATGGTAACCAAATTTAATATAACAAGAATTGGGGGGGGGGGGGGGGGGGAAAAA